CCCCCCGCCTCCCCGCCTCCTCCTCTGACTGTGTGGATGGATGGACGCTGTGTGGAGCAGCTGCCGGGTCTCTGCATCTGGAACCATGGACCCGCTCCACCATCTCTGAGACGCCCGAAAGCTTTACAGCATAAAATATGGATGTGTAGGAAGATATCTGCCAGGTTTTAGATCCACATGTCCAGTCCGTTCTCAGATAAAAGCTTTTAGAATTACCTGTCTGAGCGTTTTAAAATCTGAGGGACTATTAAAGATAAAAACCTGAAATGTTCTCTGTTAGTTCTCATCATGTCACTGATCCAGAACCTGTCGTATTCGAGCTATATTTTAAAAACCATTTAAAACTCTACCTATATTTGCATGTTTGTGCTACAACTTGTCAAATCTGCTCAATCTGTTCAACAAAAAGAATTGACCAAATATTTCAACTATTCTAATGTTTAGTTTTGTGTTGTTGTGACCTGCAGCTACATGTGGGTCAGAAAACATCACCGGCTCACTTCTGCTCTATCTGCTTATTCTGTTTTTTAACTGTGTATTTCACCTCATCAATAATCAGATGATTGATCTACTGTACGATACGACAGGTTCTGGATCAGCGACGTGATGAGAACTAACAGAGAACATTTCAGGTTTTTATCTTTCATAGTTCCTCAGATGTTGTTGTTCAAACAGATTTAATGAGAAAACAAGCAGATCAATATTCTCTTATTATGAGTGAGCTGAAATATGAAAAATGATTGAAGCTGCAGCAGAAGGTTTTAGCTCATTAACTAAAACCTGATAAAGCAGAAGTGAACCAGTGATGGTTTCTGAACCTCGTCTAGCTGCAGGTCACAGAGCTAAACATCAGAATACTTTCATTTGAAATATTTGGTCACAAACATGAAAAGAAGGTTGTTTTTGTTGAACTTTAATAATTTATGGAGCAGCTTTGACAAGTTGAGCCACAAAGTGATTTAAGGAGAATTCCTAAAGTGTTTTAATGGCATCATGAGAAACAACAGAGAAACTTTCAGGTTTTATCTTCAGTCGTTCCTCAGATGCTGCTGTTCAGCTGAAAAATGTCAACAAACCTGCTGATTGTAAATTTTTAAAAAAAGAATCTTTATCTTGAAAAGTCTCCCAGACGCCGTTCTAGACGCCCAGACCTCCGACCAGACAGGTTAGCAGCAGAGCAGAGCTGGTGGAGCAGCGATGCGTCCAGATGTGGAGGCCTCCAGCTGCTGGCTGTCTGCTGCTGCTGGATGGTCCTCCTCCCTCCTCCTCCTCCCACATTAATGACGACCACCTTTAACCTCTGGCAGAAAGCAGCACCGTGACCCCAGACTGACCTCCGGTTTTCAGCTTCCCCCTCTTCCTCCTCCAGCTTCCTGCTTCTCTGCCTGGTTTCTCTGGTTGATCTGACCTCTGTCACCGCTGCACTGAGGCTCCTTCACTCTCTACCTGCCTCGTGCTACTAGAATGCTAATCCTCAGGTCCTTCATCTCCATTCGATCTCCTCTCTGTCGCTCTGCTCCTCTCCTCTCCGCTGAAGCTCACAGCGTTTCTGCAGAACTGTTTGGACTCATTCATTTGTCTTTGAAATAGATTTTATTTTTAACACGTTTCTTGCAACGACGCTGGTTGACCAACACACACACACACACTTGCACACACACACATGCGCGCACACTAGCATCGTGGTGCATTGTGGGATAGTGAATGTTTTGGTTGTTGGCACATTAGTCCTTGACTTGTTGTGCATGAGGCGGTTTATAATCGATCAGGTAGGAAACAGGAGTCATTCCAGCTCCAACCATCAGGGTTTTAACAGCACAGAACATTCATAGACGTTCATGAAGATGTTTCAGGCTCGATCTACCAAATGCTTTTTGAGATTTTTTGTTCTTTTTAAACTTCTCATCGACCCACTTTCAGGAGGTTCATTCTCTCATTAAATCTGTTTGAACAACATCTGAGGAACCGTTAAAGATAAAAACCTGAAATGTTCTCTGTTAGTTCTCATCATGTCGCTGATCCAGAACCTGTCGTACTGGATATGAGCTCAATCATCTGATTATGGAGGAGTTGAAGTATTTTTTTAAAAAAGTGATGCTTTAATGAAATCTTTGAGCTCATTAAAGTGATAAAGCAGAAGTGATGTTTTCTGAACCACATGTAGCTGCAGGTCACAGTAAAACAAAACTAAACTTTAATGTGAAAGTTTTGGTCACAAAAATGGGAAAAGGTGTATTTTGGTTGAATATGTCTGTGAGGATTCTCAGTCATCCAGGTCGTGGTTGTTCTGGTGCATTAGTCGTTCCTTGAAGACGTTCCACCTTCATCCAAGAGGCTTCATCAGCTCTGACTGACGAGTTGGGAGTTCCAGATATCCTGAAGGAGCCGTTAACACCTGAGTTTCAATTAGGGGTTTGTTGCTCCGCCCCCTCATTAAGCGAGTCGTTAGTCATGAGAACGATCAAACTACGAGAACGTTTTTGTCAAACTATCACAACTGATCGAGCAGATTTGAGAAGTTGTAGCACAAAATCTAAAATATTCTGGAGTTTCAACATGGTTCTCACAATAAAAGGAAGAAACACGTGAGTCCAGTACGACAGGTTCTGGATCAGTGACATGATGAGAACAAACAGAGAACATTTCAGGTTTTATCTTTAATAGTGGGCTGCAGGTGGCTCAGTGGTTAGCACCATTAGCGCCTCGTAGCTAGGAGGTCGCCGGTTCACGTCCTGGTGAGGACACCTGGGATCTTCCTGCATGGAGTCTCCATGTTCTCCCCGTGCAGCGTGGGTTCTCTCCGGGTTCTCCGGCTTCCTCCCACAGTCCAGAAACATGCTGAGGTTAATTGGTGATTGTAAATTGTCCGTAGGTGTGAATGTGAGTGTGCTTGGTTGTCTGTCTCTAAGTGTAGCCCTGTGATAGACTGGTTACCTGTCCAGGTGAACCTGCCTTCAGCCTGAGTCAGCTGGGATAGACTCCAGCTCCCCCTAGTGAGGATGAAGGTGTAGAGATGATGGATGGATGTTTAATAATTCCTCACATGTCGTTCAAACACTCAGATTTAAACCTGCTGAAAGTGAGTCGACGGGCAGATTTTAAAAAACAATCTTGGTCAGTGTTTGATAAACTGATCTGGTGGTTTCACTGTCTTGCGGCAGGTCGTATTTATTTAGTAGTTGTGGACACAAATCTCAATCAGGAAGGTGACTAAACCTCCTCCATGAGCAACAAATCCTTCCATTTATTTTTGCTAATTTCCAAAAAAAAAAAAAAAGATCCAACTGGCAGCAGAGTAATCTTAGTTCATCGTGTAAGCTCTGAGGTTAGTTCTAGCAGCATACGAGGGTCCACTAGAGTCTGCCAGACGAACATTTAGTCATCTGAGCAAGTCTGTCAGCAATTCTCCAAAAATGTCTGATTCATCATTAGCGGCGCTGTAACTGAAGGAGTCTGAGACGTCCTGCAGCTACAGCCCAACCTGTAGAAAACAGCAAAGTCATAGCCGTTCACAAACATCCGCCGTGTGTTCTTCTGTCTTCTATCTGAGAGGAAATCGGGCCGGTACCTGTTGTAATATAAACGGAACCACAAGCGCTTTTAGAATCCACATCTGTCGGACACGTCGAGCACAAACTAGCCTCGTAGTGTGTTTCCTGTCTCCCACCACGGCTGCAGTGAGCACACGTAGCTTTAATATCCATAATGTGTGGCGTTAGCGCGCTGGCCATCGGTTTCATTCTCCTACAGGCATGTGTTCACTAAAACGGAGCCCCTGACTTCACGCCTCCTTCCTTTTGCCTGAGAAGGATCACTGGTTGCTGAATGCTCGTTGAACTTGGTTTGGTTCACTTGATCTGGTGGAAATGATCTTTGCTTAATGCCATGTGATGCTTTACGCAACTGAACTTTGACACAAACAGAACATTTTCTCTGAGAGACGTTGCTGTTGGATTGACTTTGTCATCGTTTTTTTTTTTTCCCCCCTTTTCTTTTCCTTTGCTTTTCTACTGATGCCCTCTCCCCGTTTTTCCTCCATTCACACCCTCTCCATCTTCTGTTCTCCATCTTTCTGTTTTCGTTTGTTCTTCTCCTCCTCCTCCTCCTCCTTCTCGTCCTCCTTTTTGTGCCGTTTCATACTCCGTCACTGTCAGGAGGACGCCTTGGCGCCGGTGACCTCCGACCCCCAGAGCCTCAGCGTGTCGTCGGGGGGCGGAGCAGGAAGTGGGAGCGAGGAGGAGGGCTCAGGTAAGGCCCAACCCAAACGCCTCCACGTCTCCAACATCCCGTTTCGCTTCAGGGACCCGGACCTCCGCCAGATGTTCGGGGTACGACACTCGACACACCTGAAAGCAGACTGGAAACAAAAGATGGACGCAGCCTCAAATCGGTGCTGGGCGGCGGTTAATGATTATTTTATTGATTGATTGATTGATTGATTAGCTGTTTGGACTCTTACAAAGTCAGAGAAAACTGTTTTGTCCAAAGATGCTCAGTTTACTGTCATAGAGGAAAGAAACCAGAAAATATTCACATTTAGGAAGCAGCAGTCGCAGACTGTTTTTATTAAAATATAACTCAAAAACATGAATCGATTATCAAACTAATTGGTGATTAGTTAAGAGTTGACAATAATCTGGTTCACCGAGTTTCATATGGGTGGTCGAACAAAATGATTTTTAAGACACTGATGCACATTTTAGAGACGAAATTTTAACGAACTAATGAGTCGATTAATCACTAATAAATGATATTGTTAAAGAATGTCAAAAATACAAACTTAATACATGTTTGTCTTAAATTCCTGCTTAAATTATGTCTCACCTCAAAAAAAAAAACACTGAAACTAATTTATTAATGATCAATTATGAAGAAATCTGTTGGTTGGTTAATTAATTAATTGTCGCAGCTGCAGTTCTCTCTACCAGCCAGCAGGGGGCAAAAAGATGTTCGATTGTATCGAAGTCTAAGAGAAGCTACTTCTCACTTGATTTGTTACCTCAGTAAACATTTTCTTACCAAGTTTATAGCCTCAATCCCAAGTCCCAAGTCTCCTTCAACACAACGTGGTGTTGATTTTGTGAGTTATGGTTCCATTTAGAGGAAAACTGACGATAAAGCAGGATACGTATGAAGGTCCTTGACTTCTGAATTAGATCCGCCGCTCACTTCTCATGTCCGGTTTTAAAAATCCAAGACTTGAGACTTCACAGCGATAACACACAAACCGAGTTTCTGACGTCCCAGCGGTCGCGTCCATCTTTTCATGCAGCCTGTTTCCGAAGTAAAATGTACAAGACGCACGCTTACACATCCGCTAAATTCAACAAAACTTATTCCGACACTTGCAGCAATTTGGCAAGATCCTCGACGTGGAGATCATCTTCAACGAGCGAGGGTCAAAGGTGAGCAGCACAGAAACACCATCAGAGTTAACACTGACACGGACAAAAGAACTCAACGAAACCATCGTACCAACTCGCAGGGCTTCGGGTTCGTCACCTTCGAGAGCGCCACCGAGGCCGACCGGGCGAGAGAGAAGCTGAATGGAACCATCGTCGAAGGAAGGAAGATCGAGGTGAGGGAGGATCTCACTGTCTTTAGGTTTAGACGTCAACTTTCTGCAGAATCGTCCTCCGTAGTGACTGTTTAACGTCTGTCCAGGTGAATAACGCCACCGCCAGAGTCGTCACCAAGAAGCCTCAGACGCCTCTGGTGAACGGAGACATTTCAAGTAAGAAACAACTCGTGAGTGTTTGGGTCTGATTGATGTTTGGAGGTTTAAGCTTCTGTTTAGTCAGGCCAGGGTTGCCAAGCGTGGTTTATTTAATGAAAAGGTACTGCTGCGTCTGACTGCACCTTAGTATCATTCTGCTGTAGAGGTGGAAAAATACTTGTTTGTGTTTCTTTAAACCAATCACAATCGTCCAGCCCGGGATGCAGTGATGGTGTCCCTGCAAATATGAGAATAGACTAGTGTACAACCAAATTAAGCGGCAATCCTGCAGTTCCATCATTACTATTCTGCAGGTACACCATCACTGCATCCCGGGCTTAAATGACGAACGATAAGTTTAAAGGAACAACCCGACCCCTGCTCCACAGTGAATGGTCTGACTGTACGGGCTTCCAGACCAGCTTCTTTATCTGAAATATATTTGTGTCATCACCATTTTTTTCCCACTGAGGCTCTGTGATAAACGGCACAAGTTCCACCAAAACACCTGCTCAGACTTCCATCCTGCAGGGACACCATCACTGCATCCCGGGCTTAGCTCCGCCCACGACGACGTGTTTTCCCTCCCGTAGCGACATGACGATGAGGTGCAGCGGGCCACAGAGGATGTAGATGTGAATACGCAGGGCGTGTTTTGATCTAGAAATGTTCTTTTTTATTTATTTTAACATCTATTCGTTGTTACTGACTGATTCCAAGATGCTTTTTCAGGTTTAGGTTTTTAAAAAAATACCTTATCTGGTAGAAAGGAAGCTTCCTGTTCGCTTAGTTTTTTATTTTGGTTCATATTTTGTTTGTATGTTTATATACTTTGTCCCGTTTATGCTTCTAACCAACTGTAACTTCAGCAAGTCAGTATTTCTGATTGTGATTATACCCTCCTCGTGTTTCCTGCAGCTTCTGGGTGGAAGATCAACCCCGTCATGGGCGCCATGTACGCACCTGAGCTCTACACAGGTGAGCCGGCTGCCCCTCAGTAGCCGTGATGTGTTCTTTCTGACACGTGATGTTTCTGACGTTTGTGTTCCCGCCGATGCAGTCGCCAGTTTTCCGTATCCGGTAGCGACGCCCACGTTGGCCTATCGGGGCTCGGCGCTGCGAGGTCGAGGTCGGGCCGTCTACAACACGATTCGCTCAGCTGCAACCACGCCTGCTGCTGTCCCCGCCTACCCCGGGTAGGGACGAGTACTCGGATACTTTACCAGAGTAGAATACAGCCGAGCGCACACAGAGCTGCTTTCAGCTACTTCATGTCCAGTTTTAAACTTATTTAAATATTTAAATTCAGCTGTTTTTAATAAATTAGCTGATTTTAAACATATTTTAGGACATTTTCTAAGCATGTGGGACATTTCTTTCACATTTTTTTGTATATTTATGCACATTTTTGAGATGCTTTATTTCTATACTTTTGGGACATTTTACAGTTTTTTTCTCCTCATGTTTAATGTTCATTTTTCTTTCATGTGTAGGAGATTATATTATCTTGTCAGATGTTTTATGTGTAGTTTTGGGACATTTATCTGACACACATTTTCAAATTTTAGAAGAACCTTATTCAGATTTTTGGGACATTTTATTAATATTTTCTCTCACATTTTATTAAAAGCTTTGGAAAATATTTTAATAATGTTTTTAGGACATTTTAGATATTTTATTCATATTTTTAGACTTTGACATAATTTTTTAGGACATTTTAATTGTATTTTGGGGGGAATTTCACAGATATTTTTCTTAAATTTTATGAATATTTTCGGGACTGTTTCCAGTTGTTTTTGTACCTTTCCTTTAAAAACAAAAACCTTTTTTTTTTTTCTTTTTTTAATCTTCTGGGGCATTTTATTGATTTTAGTCCTCACCCTTTTTTCTTTAATATTTAGGAGAATTTTTATCATATATTTGGGATGTTTTCTTTTTTGTAGACATTTATATGACTTTCTATTGTTTAGAATTTAGGGATTTTATTGACATTTTGGAGGCATTTTAGTATCAAATTTTCTCCTATAATAAAACTTTGATTCATTTTTTATTTGATCATTTAACATTTGAAATGTTGCATCACATGGAAATACTAAAGCACATTTTTTATTTAAGTGATTTCAGTGAGTTTATTCAGCTTCCTGCTGGACTTGCTGACGCCGTCGTTCTTGGTGTGTTTTCAGGGTTGTGTATCAGGACGGACTGTACGGAGCAGAAGTCTATGTGAGCAGCTGCACATTTCTCACACTTTGAAATCAATAAACCATCTGCCGGTTCTGTCTTCATGTTGTTTCTATTCTCCCTGCAGGGCGGTTATCCGGCAGCGTACAGAGTCGCTCAGTCGGCCTCTGCAGCCACAGCGACCTACAGTGACGGGTAGGACGGCAAACGGCACCATCGGTCCGAATGTTTTCTACGTTAGGAGGAAGAATTAAAGTCTGAGCTGAAAGAAGTCTGAGAACAAAACCAGATAAAGCTGTAAAAGGATCAAAATCACCAGTAAATATGGAGCAGTGAGAGTGTCAAATAACAAAAAATAAATCAAGAAAAGAATAATAAAATAAAATTGGAAATAAAAAGAAGAATAAATAAAATAAAAAATAAAATGAATCCATAAAAGAAAAGGCTAATAAAAATAGAAATATAGAGACAAATAAATAACATAGTAAAAATATTTATTTTTGTATTTATTTATTTAAATTTGATTTGTGTATTTATTATTATTATTAAATTTATTTTTCATTTGTTTCATTTATTTTTTTTAAATGTATTGTTTTATAATGTCACTTTAAAAGCATTTAAAGCATTTAAAAGACATTCCTGCTGCGCACATTTTTCTGTGAATGTTTCCATTGCTTTTAAAGCGACATTATAAAAACAATAAATAAATAAAATTTGAATATTTTTTTAAAAATTCTAAAATATATTTTAAATATGTATAAATAGTAAAATAAATAAATAAAATAAAATAAAAAATTATTATTTTATTTATTTGTCAGTATAAAAAGAAATATCCTTGAAACTTTAGCTGGTAAAAACCTTTTTATTTTTCCCTTTTCAGTGCTGATATATGTTTGGTATCATTATTAATTATTATAATATTAACGTGAGGCTTGTTAATGAGCTCAAATGTGGCAAATTCAGATTTTTTTTACATTTATTTATGTCTTTTTGATGCTAATCATGTTTAAATTGAACTGTTTTTATGTCACGTCTGGTAAATGAATCCGTGTCTGTAGTATTTAAGCAGCTTTGTTGATATTTAAGAGACACAACGAGAAGAATCAGAAACAGCAGCAGACGTTCAAATTAAAGGATCCATTCACAAGAAACTTACAGCTTTTAAGGAGTCAAATTCATGTTCAGAGTGGAGACACAGATTTATCTAAAGAAAACCAAAATGCAACATCTGACCCACCTGAGTGACAGGAAGCCAATCAGCTGCTTTTAATGCACACCTGGTGAGCATCCTCACACCTGGACTGGGACGGAGGAGAAAACAACCACACAGCAGGATGAGTCAGAACTGGAGGTCGGTTCTGGTTAACGTCTTTCTGTTTCTGGTGTTTCTGACCAGATATGGACGAGTTTATGCCACAGCTGCAGATCCATATCACCACTCAGTCGGACCGACGACGACGTACGGAGTCGGTACCATGGTGAGTCCAAACTCAGCTTCAGTTATTCACCAAATTCTCCTGGTTGGACGCGACTGAAACAGGCGATAAAAGACAGAAAGACGTCATATCAGACATGTTCACATGTTCACCATGAATGTTAACCATTTATTTGTTTGTTTTTTGCATTTTTACTAAAAATATGATCATGGTTATTTTTTGAGAAAATGCAGTTTCTGTCTGATTCCAGATGTTCCTGCTGGTTCCCACCATGTTCTATCACGTTCTGATCCACTATAAAGGTAGAACAGCTGATGCAGTAGATCTCTAATCAGGTCCAAAGAGCCCAGGTAGCTGCTGTTGGGATCCATCCCTGAGAGAGAGCTGCATGTTGCTGCTGCTCACAAGATGTTTAAAGCCGATAAAGTCACATCAAGAGTTTTCCAGGTCCAGCGTTCACAGATGAAGCTTCATGAAGAAGTCCAAGGAGCTCCTCACTGAGGAACATGTCAAAGGGCTGCAGGAGGACAGACGTGAGCCCTGCACTGGAACAATGGTGGAGGCCCAGAAGAACCCAAGGACCA